AACGCCTCATTTGGCTCGACACATTTATTTTCTAATGACTTATTACTTAACCTGCCCTTTTGAGTTAAGATTAGCAGTATTGACACTGTGGAGACTTGGCTCTTTTTCGATCTTCATTGAAATGAGAATGCAGAATGAAGCAGAGTCTCTCTATAACTCGATGGAGCTGGCTTGGAGAGACCACATTGAGGCAAGGATTTATGTTTTCCTTTTGCAGGGGTGGTAAGTGGTGTCCAGGGAGCCAAGCCGGGCCACACACACTCATTTCCGTCTTGTCTGTGGTTGTTTTCCTGCTACAATGACAGAAACCAAAAGGCTTGCCAAGTCTAGAGACCGTTACTCTCTGGATCTGGTCAGGAAAGCCTGGCTGACCAACACTCTTGCTATTTTAGTCCTATATCGCCTTGGGACTAGTATTTCCCAGTGCCTGAAGGTTTCTAGCTAACTAAGAGTTCAGCTGAAATCGGTTCCAAACAAATGCCAGAACTTAAGAGCTAGTAAATCAAGGTGTGATGGTGTATGGCTGTGGTGGAGGCAGGATGATTAGAAGTTCAAGGTCATTCTGGAATGCTAAGGGAACTCTAGGCCATTTCAGGATATGCGAGGCCCTGTCTCAAGACAAAATAAAGACTGGAAATATGGCTCAGCAGTTAAGAGCACTTGCTGCTTTTCAGAGGACCTGAGTTCAGTTCCTAATTCCATGTTGGACTGAAAGGCCCGCTGCCTCTCTGTCTCCCCCTGCCTATGCCGATGCTGGGTGTTCTCTCTGGAGCAGCCGGGATGGGCTGGGAAGAGCAGTTGACCGAGGGCAGCACGGCGGGGACTGAGCAGAGCAGGGCAGGGCTAGGATGCGGCCAGGGGCTGGAGAGTGCAGCGCGGGCGATGCTTGTCCGGGGGCTGCGAGCTGCGAGCAGGGAGCCACCTCCAAGGCCAAGGGCGGAGCCGCCCTGCTTCCCCTTCATCCCGCTGTCCCGCCGGCCTCCACTTCCCCCGCCCCCACGCCCCCCCAATGGGGAGCCTTCGTCCCAAGGTCAGCCATCTGGACCAGCAAAAGATAAAGGCCATTTCGCCTGACTATTACGGTGCCTTTTTCCCTTATAAAAGGACTCCCCTTCCGGGGCTCGGGGCTTAGCCTAACAAAAAGCTAAGTCCCCGAGTGCCCGGCGCCATCAATAAACCCTCTTGCTCTTGCATCCAGAGTTCATGGTTTCGCTGATTCCTGGGTGCGGGTCTCCTTCTACGAAAGTACCTCTTCTGAGGTCTTTCAGGACCCTCTCAATAAAGTGTAGCTCCAGCTCTCAGGGATCTGACACTCTCTTTTGGCCTCTGCAGTACCCATACACAGGTGCATAAACACACAGATCCATGAAGAAAAATAAAATTAGGAGAGTAAATACCAACTGAATGAGTACTCAGTTCTTTTCTTTAAAAAATGAAAAATAAGGGGCTAGAGAGATGGCTCAGCAGTTAAGAACACTGGCTGCTCTTCTAAAGGACCCAGGTTCAATTCCCAGCACCCACATGGCAGCTCACAAAAGTCTGTAATTCCAGTTCCAGGGGATCAGACATCCTCACACATATGTACATGCAGGCAAAACACCAATGTATGTAAAATAAAAACGAATAAATCACTAAAAATTTTTCTTTGGGGAGAGTTGGCCAAAAACAACACCATTGAGTGCCTAATTTCAGGGCTGGATGTCATATGACTTGTTTATCTAATTCTTGGGGGAGTTCCAGGGCATCGAAGCCTCTGTCCTCTGAGAAGAGAGCCACCCAGCCCATTCTCAGAGGCTCCCTGACCCCTCTGCATAGCCTCGCTGTGGGCTGGCTAGAAGTCATTTCTGGAGTGGTGTGGAGGGTAGCTGCTTGCTGTCAGGAAACTATCCGTCCTTTCTGCTTTCCCAGCAGCCCTCACTCCAGGCTGCTGACCTTGGATTTCCCAAATGGTTTAAACAAAACCAAATGGGAAAGTACATTCCTAAAGGAAATTCTTGGCAGAAAAATAGAAGAAAGCTCCAGCAAATAAAAATCATTACATATGCATCTTCCCTCTTCTCCTGGCATTTCGGTACTCCCTATTTTCCTTCCTTCCTTCCTTTCCTCCCCCCGCCCTCTGTCTCTCCCCCTTCCTTCCTTCCCGCACTTTTTTTTTTGGGGGGGGGGGGGTGAGACAGAGTTTCTGTGTGGCCCTCT